ATGCCCAAATTTTCCATCTGAGATTATGTGTGTATCTCAATAGTCTGTCTTCGGTGTTTACTTTTCTCTATTACCTCCTTCCTCTTTTTGAAACAGTTTCATTTATATAAACCAGGCTATCCTTGAACTCACAAAGATCCACATGCTTCTGCCTCCCCAGAGCTGGGATTAGACATGCAAGCATGGCTCTATTTACTAAGAAAATAAAACAATGGTATTGACTTCACTACCATAGCAATGAAAACCTCTCTTATACTATCTTCGCCAAATCTGGTGCTCAGCATAATTAAAAAGTAACTGCCAAACAAGGGTGTAGAGGAAACTCCCAAAGAGGTTCCAGTGTGTGCCACATTGCTTGGTGGCAGGTGGCTCTGTGCATTAGATGTCTGGGGCAGAGGGTTTGCCTCCTGGGTGTGTGTGTGTGTGTGTGTGTGTGTGTGTGTGTGTGTGTGTGTGTATGCGCTGTTGTTGGGGGGAAATGGGGATGCCTCTCAGGACTGTTTGTATTCAACGAGAAGGTGTGTGGACACTGAAATTTTTCCACATCAGAACTCAAGTAAGCATTTGGCCACTTTCCAGAAACATCTGGCAATGGAGGAGGGGGGGTGGTCCAAAAATATGAAAAAAAGAAACGAAATTTCACCGTTTTTGAAGACCTCCCCATTAACCAACTTTTCCACGGGCTACCTGTTTTTCTTGCCTTCTCCATGTAGTATTTTGTGCAGTTTGTTCCGAGTCTCCTCTTCTGTTCTGGAAGCTGCCAGCTGCAAACTTCCCACATCAGGGGCTCAGTTATATTTGCCTCAACCAAGAAAAAGTAAAAACAGAGGTGAGGAGCCAATAAAGCCTATAAACAAGTTCCTACCATCGGTGCACTGCCGTTTATGGAGAAAACTCACATTTAAGATTTTAATAAGCTCTCCAACTTCATCATTATTTTTTTTTTTTCTCCCTCCAAGCACAAAGCTCAGCTCAGATGTTTTGGTAATGTTGGAAACTGAAGTCTGGAATTTATAGACGAGGTAACGTGTGGGTGGGGACCTAGCACCCTGGGCAGGTGAAGAAGTTGAGCGACTTTCCCAAAATATGATAAAAGGACAGCTCTTGGCCTGGAAGCTTAACTCACGCTTCCAAAGACTAAGGTGAACAAACATCCACTGAGGAAAACAAGGGAGTTGGACTGAGACTAAAGATATGAGACGATTCTGCTGCCATTAAAAGAGTGAACGGGATTGGGGAGATTGCTCACGGGTTTTTTCTTTCTTTTTTTCTTTTTGGAGACAGGGTTTTTCTGTGTAGTCCTGGCACTAGCTCTGTAGATCAGGCTACCCTTGAACAGATCTGCCTGCCTCTGCCTCTCAAGTCCTGGGATTAAAAGCAGACAGCACCGTACCTGGTTCAGCATTTTTCTTTTTTTTTCTCCCCTCCCATCCCGCCCCCCCCCCCAAGACAGGATTTCTCCTGGAACTCGCTCTGTAGACCAGAATGGCCTCATACTCAGAGATCTGCCTGCCTAAGACATGCACCACCACCACCTGGCTTTACAGTTAACAGCTCTTAAAACTCTTGCAGGGGACCTGGGTTCTGTTCCTAGCACCCACCATCTGTGGACTCGCTATTTGTTCTGAAGCCCTCGGGTCTCTGTGGGCACTTGTATGCATGTGGCACCCACAAACTCACACACGTGCACATAAATGAAACTAGTAAGCCTTTAAATATACAATAAAAATAGTGCATTGTGGTGGTGGTGCATCACCTGTAGCTGCCATTGTAAGCTACATCTTAGCTAAGTTATCCCTGTTAGCTTCTAACTGCATCTCCCTGCCTCTCCCTCCGGAGTAACTAGGATTACAGGCCTATAGCACGCAGCCTGTTTACATAGTGAATTCTAAATGAAAAGAAAGCAATAGAAAACATGACCGTCAATCATCTAAAAACAACTTAGGAAGGGACTGGTGAGATGGCTCAGTGGTTAGAGGGCCCCTTGCTCTTCAGTAGGACCTGGGTTCAGTTGCCGGGGATCTGACACCTTCATACAAACATGCATGCAAGCAAAACAACAAAGCACATAAAATAAGAACACATAATTGTTAAAAGATGCTAAAAAAGATTGGAAGAGTTTTTCTGGTTGTGGTGGTACGAACCTTTAAGGCGGGGCCAGGAATTCAACCAAAAACTCATTGTTATCCTCTCCATATTTATGTCTATTAGAAAAATGAACAGACCATAAATGTCCCAATGTCTGGAAGGATTCATTCTGTATGCTTTTGGGGATAGTAACTACTTAACTAACCATACCTGGTAGTGGTCAGTATGTGTGTAGAATAAATTTCTTCTGTAGATTAGGACTTCTCATGTCCACTGACGAGTGTGAAGAGATGGTAAGTTTGACCCTGTTCTCTGTACTTCTTTATGCTCAGATTTTGTACAGTTTTCTTGGGCTGGAAATGCAACCGAGGTTTTTGTTTTGTTTTGAGGGGGTGCAAAGCAGGCCAGAACGGGCTGGGGCTCAGCGGTAGCTAAAGCCTGGAAGCAGCAAGAAAAGCATTTATGGTGGATGGACTACATGACCAGTTTTGTCTTTTATTTTTAGGTTTTGATTCTTTTGAGATTGGGTCCCATTCATATATCCCAAGTTGGCTTTAATCTTACCTAGCTGAGAATGCCTTTAATTCCAGCACTTGGGAGGCAGAGACAGGCGGATCTCTGTGAGTTCAAGGCCAGCCTGGTCTACAGAGCAAGTTCCAGGACAGGCTTCAAAGCTAGAGAAACCCTATGTGTGGGTTGGGAGGGTGTGGGGGGAGAGCATGTTATACTGTATTTTGGAAACTAGTATGTAACACATTGGGTAACATTGTAACATTTTAGTGTTTTTATGACCCACATTCTCCCGGACTTCCCAAAGGGCTCTAGTTTATGCAGTTACTGGAGATCAAACCCAGGACTTTATACATGCTAGGTAAACTGGACAGCAGTGATTCAGCCTTCCTAATGCTGTGACACTTTAATGAAGTTTCTCATGCTGTGGTGACCCTGACCATAAAAATGATTTTTGCTGCTAACTTCCTAACTGGAATTATGCTACTGAGTGGTGCACCTCAGTCCCTATGACCATAGGAAATATATTTTCCAGTAGTTGTGACCCACCAGTTGAGAACCTATATATAGTTAAGTCTCCATCCTTACACGACTACTTCAGAAGACAGAGTCTAAGGATCAAATTTAAGCTGTTAGTCAGGGTTGCTCAGCAAACACCTTGGCCTAGATGAGCCACCTGGCCAACCCAGCATCAGTCTGGACTGAGATGACAAAAACAAGTGCTTAAATCACACCAGAATCACTTTGCCTTTGCCGGGCTCACTCTTGGGACTTTTAGGTTTTGATCTAGGCAATCCTCCCCAAAACTGTAACCACTAGGTCAGGCCTGTAATCCTCCCGTGTCTAGGAAGCTGTGGAAAGAAAATGCAGAGGCTTGCACAACGTACGGAGCCTGGTGGGAAAGTGGAACTGTATTCCCAATTGAACATTTATATGCTTCTCAGTCAGTTAAAGTATCACTCCAAAGTTCCAAAATCAGGGAGGCATAGAACACAGCTCATGGTGAGTGACCTTTAAAAAACAATTATACCGGCTTTCCGACTTCCCGGGTAAAGATGGCAGAGAGCGGTTACAGCTTTTCGCTGACTACATTCAGACCATCTGGTAAACTTGTCCAGATTGAATATGCTTTGGCTGCTGTGGCTGGAGGGGCCCCTTCAGTAGGAATTAAAGCTGTAAATGGCGTAGTATTAGCAACTGAGAAAAAGCAGAAATCCATCCTGTATGATGAAAGGAGTGTACACAAAGTGGAACCGATTACTAAGCATATCGGTTTGGTGTATAGTGGCATGGGCCCAGATTACAGAGTGCTTGTGCACAGAGCTCTGAAACTTGCCCAGCAATACTATCTTGTGTACCAAGAACCCATTCCCACAGCCCAGCTGGTACAGATGCAAGAGTATACCCAATCAGGTGGTGTTCGTCCATTTGGTGTTTCTTTACTTATTTGTGGGTGGAATGAGGGACGACCATATTTATTTCAATCGGATCCATCTGGAGCCTACTTTGCCTAAGAACTATGTGAATGGGAAAACTTTCCTCGAGAAGAGATATAATGAAGACCTAGAGCTGGAAGATGCCATTCATACAGCCATCTTAACTCTAAAGGAAAGCTTTGAAGGGCAAATGACAGAAGATAACATAGAAGTTGGGATCTGCAACGAAACTGGCTTTAGGAAACTCACCCCCACTGAAGTGAAGGATTACTTGGCTGCCATAGCGTAATAAAGATGTGCCTAAACAATCCTGATCTCACACAATCTATCTACTTATTCATGTTTAAAGTATGTTTTGTTTGTGCAGACTTATTTCTACATGGTTTAATGGATTCACATTTTTAAAATAACAATCATAATAAACTGTTAAAACCAATTTCTGGTTTTTAAGAAAAAAAAAAACCAAAAAAACAATTATACCATCTCTCTAGTTCTGAATATCGTTCTTAAATATTCTTAAAAATATGGACTTTAGCTGGGTGGTAGAGGCAAGGCACACACCTTTAACCCCAGGCAGAGGCAGGTGGATCTCTGTGAGTTCCAGGCCAGCCAGAGCTCCACAGAGAAACCCTGTCCTGAAAAACAAACAAGAAATTATGGACTTTAAGGCTGGAGAGATGGCTCAGTGGTTAAGAGCATTGGCTGTTGTTCTACTCATAGCCTGATTCGGGTCCCAGCACCAATCTGTCAACTCACAACAACTATAACTCTAGTTCCAGGAGATTTGACATCTGGCCACTGCAGGTACCAGGCACACACATGGATCAGACAAAATATCAAAACCCACTTTTCAAAAATCATGAATTTCATCAGTTCAAGACATTATAATCATTAGATCTATTTTTGGTAATCTTGAATTTATGTGATAAGCTTTTTTTTTTTTTTAGTCATACAAGACATCCAGACTATCTTTATACTAAATTAAAACTTTATTGAATAAAGAACACTCTCCCGAGCACATGACTGGATGGACTAGGTCTACATTACATGTAATGAAGCTGAACATGACGGTAGTTTAACATGGAATGTCAAACAAATTAGTTTTTCATTGTACAAAACCATTTATGTAGCTGACGTGCAAAAAGAAAAATAGGATACTCGGCATTTCATCAATCATGTGTAATGAGTTTTTTTTTAAAGGTATTTGAAGAAACTGGTAAATGTCTTTAGTGTATATTTCAAATAAATTAGTTACATGTGCACTACTGAAACCTCCTTTGACCCCTCTTGTATTTCAAATAAAATCTTAGTGCAAGCATCAACGTTGCCCATCCCTCTAAAAGACTGTTACACTCAGAATACAAGTTCTGAGTTAATGTGTAGTTAAGTAGGACAAAATCTAATTACCAGTTACTACAAAATTCCATTAGGTACACTTAATAGTCCATTCTAAGCATTTCTTTTTCTAAGACTCTCACATTAATAACTAAAGCCTGCTTACAGTACTAAATTTCTATCATTCAAGCATCAATGATTATATTTCAGAGAAAGAAAATCATTCATTTTATTAATGGCATTATTGCTACATTCTAAAAGGAGGGAAAAAATTAACAAAACCAATATCCATAATAGGATATGGGAGGGGAGACTTTTAGGGCAAAAGCGTGCTTTACTTGCACAGCAGGAATTCTAGAATGTAAACACCATATTGGCCCACACCACAGAAATCCATGAGGAAGGTTCAAATTTGAACACTGTGTGCATTAGATTCAAATCTGCATTTGTGAGTTTATACTACCTCTGCTTGTACCAATAATGACATAGAACACACTCTTCCACACACGCACACCCACATGTAGAAGTGGTTGTTAAATATTGAGCATGGCTTGCTTCCCTGATGCTAACTCAAAAAAAGAAACCACTAAATGACATTATACGACCATTAGAAATGTTGAGAGAAACCATTTGGTGAATGTAAGGAATAGTTGAGGATGATGTATGGGTGACGGCCACACCAAGGTGAGACAGATGTGAAAAGAACCCGCTGAGATGGAGTTACACGAGCATTCTTTTTCTTCGAGCCTTGTCTGAACTTTAAAAAACAGGTAAGTAGCACAAGGTTCCACCCACACCCGGGTCAGCCTCAGAACGCTGATCTGCAAACCCCAAGCTTTTGACACTGGAATGTTTTTTTAACAGGGACATAGGACAACCTATCGTTTCATAAGGAAAATGCAATGCTGAGGAAGCATGGATTCCTGGCCAAAGCTATTTCCGTTTCTTGATAAAAACAAAAATAAAAATTATCACCCACTCACTCACATACACAGAACCGTTCTTAAGGTTCGGTTGGGGGGCAGAAAGAGAAGGCCCTTATCTAGCTATGATCACCCAATGCAACGCTTACTAGAATTTAAGTTCTTCGAATCAACTACATTAAATTAGCATTATGTACCTCCCATAACCCCACCTGTTCTGCCCAGCTATCCCAAACACCCCCAAGGAACCTAGGTATTATAATGTCTTTGTTTTCTACGCCTCATAACTGAGGCTGTTGAGTACCACCTCCACGGGAACAAAATGAACACACCAGGTACACTTTCTCCTCCACAATCGAATGAATCGCATCTTGATGCGCTATCTAGATCTCCAGGTCATCGGGCCGAGGTCGGCTGCTGGCACGGCTGCTGGCTCTGCTGGAAGGTCGCTGGTCCACAATGGCTAGGGGCTGGAGTTCATGTCCAGCAGCAATTTTTTTGGCATTCTGGTTGTCATCGGGGAAGTCAAAAGGTTGGGCATGGGAGTTGGAGATGGTGCTTCCGGCCTGGCCCATTCGATTTTGCTCCGCGCTGTAATTAGCCCAGTTTTGCTCACTGGCTTGCTTGTTGTAATTGCGGCACGAGGAATTGTTTCTGTCACCGGTCACCAGCTTGTACCCGGGAGGAGACATAGGCGAGAGAGGAGCTGTTGGTGAGGAGCAGCCATTGAAGTAGGCGTATTTTGGAGAGCCACAGTCTTTTGAGGGGCTCAGTGGGCCGGTGGTGGCATGGTAAGGATCGCTCCTTCCCTTCACGCGATCCTTAACGCCCTTGAAGAAGACGTAGAAGAGCTCAATGATATTCAAAGCGAGGGACACCAAGGACACCACCAGCATGAAGATGATGAAGATGGTTTTCTCTGTGGGCCGTGAGAGGAAGCAGTCCACCTGATGGGGGCAGGGATCTCTTTTGCAGGTGTAGACGGCACTCAGGCTGAAGCCATAGATGTACCACTGGATGAGTAGGAAGGCCACCTCGAAGACAGACTTGAAGAGGATACTGATGATGTAGGTTCTCAGCAGGCCTCCCCTCATCTTCACCTTGCCGTGCTCTTCAATCCCGTACTTGAACTTCTTGATTTCGATCTGTTTCAGGTGCATGTCCACATTGGCACCGTCCGTCTGGGCCACTTTGAGCTCCTCCTCTTTCTTGTTCAGTTTCTCTTCCTTTCTCATCACGTAGAACACATGAGCCAAATACAGGAGCGTGGGCACGGACACGAATATGATCTGAAGGACCCAGAAGCGCACGTGAGAGATGGGGAAGGACTTGTCGTAGCAGACATTTTCACAACCAGGTTGTTGAGTGTTACAGCGAAAGGCTGACTGCTCGTCGCCCCATGCTGACTCCACCGCTGTCCCCAGCAGCAGGATTCTGAAGATGAAGAGCACTGACAGCCACACCTTCCCACCAGCGGTGGAGTAGGCTTGGACCTTGTCCAGAAGCTTTCCCAAGGCACTCCAGTCACCCATGTCTGGGCACCTCCTAAGGGGGGGGGGAAAAGGCAACTCAGTGACATATAGCCAAATTGGTGCATGCATTATCTATATTTTTTTGTAAGGTGACTACCAAAATAAAACAGATTCAATCCAATCCAAACCAAAATTCAAATGCAATCCTGGCCGCGTTTTCCGGAAGATGAAATTAAGTCAGAAGTAATAGCACCTAGCTAGTTCAGGGAGAAGAGCAACCCTAACCCCTGGGATGTGTTCCTAGCTGTCACCACCACCTTGGCATGTGACCTCTTTCTGCTAAGTGACTCTGCTTTTTGTTTTACTTTCAAGACAGCGTTTCTCTACATAGCTAGCTAGAGCTAGCTATGTAGACCAGGCTGGCCACGAACTCACAAAAATCCACCTGATTCTGCCTCCCAGTGTGAGCCACCACAGTCCGACTGCCTCTGCTTGTTTATTTGTCTGACAAACAAGGGCAGCTCTTGGCTGGAAGGCCAGGATCTGCCTAAGCAAAAAGTTGATGTGTACTACTAAAGTATATGGATCTAAGTAAGGACTTAGGAAGTAACTCCAGGGCTTTACATAGCAACCAACGCTATTTCCCAAGATGCCAGGATATTGTTTTAGTCCTAATTTTAGCCTGAAACGTTTCTCCATAATATCAAGCATTCAATTTGTGTGCCTTTTGTGTTAAGGACATCGGTCCATTTCTCTTCCTTTCTTTGACAGACCTCCTGCATTGGCCCAAGTTGTTTTTGAAGTTGTGATCTTCCTGCCTCTCTGCCTCCTGGGATTCTAAGCATGTGCCCCCCCCCCATACTTGGTCTGATTTCTAGCAGGGGGCAAGAGGATTGCTATGAATTTGAGGAGATCCTGACACTTTGCCTAGCTAATAAAAATCTCCAGACTTATGACCACATTTCCACTGAGTTCACTTTGTCTCAACACCACTGACCAGCTCGATAAACAAAAGGACCATACATATCAAGAGTATTTTCCCGGCTTTCATCGCAGCACTCAAGAGGCAGAGGCAGGCAGATCTCTAAATTCAAGCCTGGTTTACAGAGTGTTTTTCAGGACAACCAGGGATACATAGAGAAACCCCGACTTTTTGTTTGTCTCAAAAACAAAGAATATTTTCTCAAGAAAAAAAAAAAAAAAAAAAAAGATTGCCTTTTCCAGCTCTTAGTGGGCTTTGGGCCTGGAGCCCGTGCACTCATTCACTTGAACCTTAGTTTATGCCCATAATCTCCATACTGAGCAGGCAGGAGGTACAGGACAACCACTGCACAGGAGTCAGCCTGAGTTCAGGCCAGCAAGGGCTACAAAGTTAGACCCTGGCTCAAAAGGCAAAACAGATGGGGAGATGGCTTAGCGGGTCAAGACTCTTCTTGCCACCAAGCCTCACAACCTGAGTTTGAGACCCCACGATTCACTGAGCAGGAGAAAACCACCCTTGAAATTGTTGGGATAAAGGAAACAGCTTCCTGCCTAACCCCGAAGACTCATGGTCCTCAGACGCAAGACATCCCCATGGTCACACACAGGCAGAGGAAAGTTTCTCTGAGGTTAGGAAGATGTGGACACATAGTTTACTCAACAAGGGGGGGGGGGGAACCAGGGACAAAGCAACAAGTAGCAATCACAGAGGCAGTCAAAGATTCAACAAGTGCTGCCCAAAGCTCCTAAGGGAAGGGTGTGGTTGTGAGCTTCTCCTGGCTCCCTGGGTACCTTTGATGATGACCAGACTCCTGCCAAAACCAGAAGAGTAAGATGTGGGTGGGCAGGTCCACGCAAATACTGTTTTCTAAACAGTCATAAATAAATGGATCTTTCCTTCTACTTTTTGGAAGGTCGTTGCAGACTGTGAAATGACAATTCAGAAAGTAAAGTCAGCGCAGTGTAATCAAAGAGAAGCAAGGAAGGGCTGGCAGGGTCCAGAGTTAAAAAGCCGAGGAAAGGCTTGAAGAGGAGGAGATAGATTTAATCATGATAGACAGTATGATGGTTCGAGAACAAAGAAAAAGCCTGTAATTTAGCAGAAATGCTAGACTAGAACTAAGGGGTAGTCCACAGGGGTCACACAAACACCAGAATTTTTGGAGCCATCTCCAGGACAGTTCTATGCGATTATGTGTAAATTGGCCCCATTTCTGTTTGTAAAGAATTATAATACTCTGCCAGGGTCATCTGCTTTTGCTCAGATCTCCAATCGTTGGGAGGGTGGAGTGTTGGAAACAAAGTGATCGCACGGTCGCACACAGCTCATCAGGGTCCCGCAACCATTGATGATCAAGACAAGCTGCATGCTCAGAGGCAGAGTGGGCACCACACAAGCTTTTACCTAGTCAGCACCTCCTCGTTCTTCAAAGAGAACCACAACTGAGGGATGCTGCTGGAAGTTCATTATTACATCCTTAACATTCTGGACTCAGCAACTTCACTTTTGTATAATTCCAAGATTCCTCAAAAGTATCCACAGTGCCAGGGCATGTGAACTAGGTCACCAGTCAGTTCTCTGGGTAATAGTTTTTTCTTTCTTTCTTTTTTATTGCACCAGCGATTTAATTGCAAAGCTGTCCTTTCTTTAAGCACCCACGCAGTAGTCATTTGCATTAATGAGTTACAGCCTTTCATCTGAATAAGATATGAATTATCCAATTTGGGCACTCTAGCTCCTGTGACATGTAGATACCTGTTATTACCACTATCGTAGACACCATCAAATAGTGCCTGATGTGATGGCTCATCCTGCGACTCCAAACTTAGTTACCTCTCTGATTTTAGCTGTTCACTGTTACCAGTCAACAGCTGTTGTTCTTTTTTACTAGATCCTGTTTAATATTTTCACTTTTCCAGATTTTAAAGACTTTCTAGCTCCCCCCCCCAAAAAAATTTTTTTTTGTTCTTCACAGGGTCTTGCTATGCACTCTTGACTAGCTTCCAGCTTACTTACTATGTAGTGGTGGCTAGCTTTGAACTTATAATAGCACACTTCCTACCTTAGCCCCCCAGAATATAATTATACCACATTCTAAGTTAATGGTTTGTGCAGAATTCTCAGATACAGATTCTCTTTTCAAATTTTCTTTTCCTCTTTGAGTCAGGGTTTTATGTAGTAGCCCAGGTTATCCTCGAAATCAACATATGTAGAAGAATGGCTTTGGAAAACTTTTTTTTCCCTTGAAACAGGGTTGCTCTGTGTAGCTTGAGCCTGTCCTGGCACTCTCTCTGTAGACCAGACTGGCCTTGAACTCACAGAGATTGGCCTGTCTCTTCGCCTCCTGAATTCCAGGCAGTAGTGGAGCATGCCTTTGATCTCAGCACTCAGGAGGTAGAGGCAGGTGTATTTCTGTGAGTGCAAGTCAGCCTGGTCTACAGAGTGAGTTCCAGGACAGGCTCCAAAGCTTTAGAGAAGCCCTGTCGAAAAAACAAAAACAAACAACCTAACAAACAAGCAAAAAACAAAAGGTTGACCTTTGTCCTCCAGCCTATAGCTTTGCTCTAATTACAAGCCAGAATGAGCATTCAATTTAGCTAAATCTCCAGCCCTTAATAGCTAGCAGAGAGAGACCAGGTCAGTCACTCTTCTAATACTTTCTATAATGTATCCCATGCTAGATCATTTTCTTTTGCTGGCCACAATCACCAAAGCTAGATACTCGAAGCCCCAACCATCCAGTGTGCAGTGTGACCTTGCTGAGGACCACTGTAGAACCTCACCATTCACACCACAGCGTTTGCTAACATACATTATGCCTGATAGGAATGAATCTGATAGGCAAGGCTAGGGAAATTAGCCTTTTGTTTTTTTTTTTTTTAACTATTTATGTCCAAGGTCACTCTAAAGTTTTGTAGGCAAGCAGTAGCTCCTCAGAAGTTTGGGTGTTTTCCTGCCCCAGAACATCTGGGAAGGAGAGAAGGCCAGAGTGTCTAAATACTTAGTCCAAATCTAGCACTGGGTTTCCTTTGTACCTGACGATGACCTTGAACACTTCATCCTTCCGCTTAACTGAAGATTACATGTGTGTACCAACATGGCCAGCTGGTAACATGCTTTTTTGGGAGATCTCACTATGTAAACTAGGCTGGCTTCAAACCCAGAGATCTGCCTGCCTCTGTCTCAGAAGTGCTGGGATTAAAGGTGTGTGCCACCATGCCTAGCAAGCAATCACCTCAGTGAATTTAGATGAAGGTCCTTTAAAATTTTAAATAAAATTACACACTATCTAAAAACACACAAGGGAAGTCACTTAATGGGCAATTTAAGGGAGGAGGTTGTTGCTTTGTGTGAGCTCCGCCTGCCACAATGTCCCCACCCTCTTAAACTAGTGTCTGGACAGATAGCCTGGATGACTGATTACTTTCTCAGCCTTTCAAATGCTGAGATTTCCCCAGTTCCACTGTAGGGTTTTGCTTCTCTGAGTAGCACAGGCTGTCCTTGAACTCAGAGATCTGCCTGCCTCTGCCTCCTAAGCACTGAAATTAAAGAGGTGTGCCATCATGTCCAATATAATATCCTAAGTCCAAAAAAACTATGCCCCTGAAACCTTAAATACAAACCCTAAGGAGACCCGGCCCTTAGACCAAATTGCTCAATTTTGACTTTCCTTCTTCACTTCCAATCACAGCCAGGTGGATGGGGGGGGGGGGGGGGGGGGGGAAGCTGTTTGTTTCTGGCAACTTTGAGTTGACACATAATTAACTTACCAGAATTTAATGTGCACATAAGCTTCATCTTCAAGATGAAATCAGGCTATGACTACTTCCTTTCCCCATCCTAGGGTTTAGCCTGACTCACCTCTCCAGTTTTCCTGCCGCTCCTCCTGCCAAAATATTTGCATCTCAGCCCTGCATAAACACATCTTCACTTATTTCAGTTCTCATTAGTGAACTCTCCTGAGCAGGAACTATGAAAGAGAGTCCTTTCCCAGGTTTCAGGATTTCCTGTTTCTCCTGTCCCATTTCCCCCCCCCCCCCCAACCAGCTTTCCTCTATTCCACGTTAACTCACATTTGCCTTCTTGTCAGGATCCTCTAGAATATGAACCCTGTGAGGGAATTTGGGGGAGTCTCATCTGGCGTAACCTCAGCATTTAGGAAGCAGAGACAGATGTAGCTACTGTGGGCGAGAGTGAAGTCTACGAGAGCAAGACCTGCCTCCTCAAGACAAAGCAGTGAGCAAAGGTCTTAAAAAAAAAAAAAAAAAAAAAAAAAAAAAAAAGCCAGAGGGGATTGAGAAAATGACCCAGCAGCAAAGAGAGCTTGTTGTCCTTGCAGAGGACATGGGTTTGGTTCCCAACATGCCCATGGCTTCAGTTCCAGAGCATCTATGCCCTCTTTGGACTTGTGGGCATCGGGGACACACGGACACATGTTGTACGTGCATATACTCAGGCAAAATCCTCATATGTTCAGCCCCCTCAAAAAAAGTACTGCTGTTTGTTGAAACAATATGCTTCAATCGCTCCAGCCACTTAATTTCTTCCTTTTTCAGAGGCAGAGTTTCTCCATGTAACCCTAGCAGTCTTGGAACACTGTAGACCAGGCTGGCCTCAATATCAGAAACACCCCATGCCTGTCTCCCAATTTCTGAAATTAAAGGTGTGCACCACCACACCCAACTTCAGCTGCTTAAATTTGAGATGAGACCTCAGTGGTGGTTAAGACCCTCCCCCAAGAAATGCCCATGCTTCCCCCCCCCCCCAGTTCTGAGTGTTCTAATGGATGTTAACACACAATTTCAAGGCAACCAAGGACAGAAATCACAGAAGAAGTCTGCTTAAAATGCTTACTTCAGGAATGACAAATGTGGGAGATGGTTCTGAACAGGGGAGCAGAGCTTACATTAATCTCTACGTAACCCGACACACAGGCAACAAAGTGATCTGAATCCAGCACACCGAAGAACACGTCTCCAGATCAGACAAAAGTCAACCTTTGCAGCTTTATACCTGGAGAAGAGGCTCATAGTTCTTGTCAATGAGAGCTATTCTATGTAAACATCATTGTTACAAGTTCTCTGTCTTACACACACACCTTTCAGATGGCCTCAGTCCCTTTCTTTGTAAGGGATTCCTTACTATTCCCAATCTCATAGGTGTTGATGAAACATCAGACAGCTTTTGTCCTGCTTACAATTACACACCCTCATCTGAACACAGAACAGACCAGACTCCACAGAGTGAGATAGATAACTATGGTTAAAGGACCCCACCCAAAGGTAGGTGGTGAGCCAAGAGGCAATCTCTTCCTGCATTCTCCAGCCACTCAGCTTCCCTGCCAAAGGCTGCATACTAAAAGCCACATTCAACTGCCATCCAAATAACTTGGAAAGCAGTTATTTTTTGTTATTTCCTCTGCCTCCATTCACACCCACCCTCAAAGATAGCTTACTAAGCAACCCCGTTACTCCGTGACTATGTAAACACAGGTTTAGGATGCCCAAGTATATTAAGAACAGTGTATGTGCCTCAATAAGTGCTGCATGAGATAATGCATGTATCCCATGCTTTTAGTTACCACCACGATAAAATGTAGCTCTTTCAAAAGAACTGTAAGGATCTCATGTCTTCTAACTTTGCTAGCTTTTTCAGTAGCAAAACAGTAACTAAAAGTGTTCAAACATAATTTCTAAAAATTTTAGACAGCTAGAAAAATTGAGAAGTTTAGACAAGTTACCGCAACAAGTAACCATGGGTTAAATTTTGGCAAAAAGGAATTTAGCTCACACATCTCTACACGGTAAATTAACAGGCATGCAAAGTGGAGAATCTGTAATCAGTTTATCCCAAAGATTCAAAACGCATTTGCACAGTCCTACCTAAAGGCAGGTGGCCTGGAAGAGTCTATACTGGTTGTGGATGTTAACGAAACACACTAGATGCCTACATTTTTCTCTCTTGAGCTGAGCAGGATGTGCTTCAACACATCACAAGTCAAACAGAATCTTGAAGGGAAGTTATAACAGGAAAGGTGGAGCTGTAGGTATTAATCAGTGGGTGACTTTCCTATCATTCCCTTCCCTTGGGGCATATAAAGTCTCTACGGTTCACAGCGAGAGCTACACCACTGCATAGTGTAATAAAGCAAGGCGCAGTGTCCGCCATCCCTTCCCTGTGTGGTGGGGCTGGAACAGTCTAAGGGACCAAACGCTGTTCCCTCTCAGGAAGGAAATGCAGCCTTCCTTTGCCTGCTGCTAGCTTTAGAAACGAACTTCCCATGGAAGGTCATGGGGGGATATGAAGCCCGACTACCAACAGGGCATCAGTGAACCTGAAGACCCTCAAAGGGACACTGTAAAAATGCGTTAGGCGTTGAGACAGTGGGCGATCAAAGCACTAGCACCCGGAGCTGCAGGCAAAGGACAGTAACTTTCACACACTGGGGAGACAGCCCAGTAATTCAGAATTCAGCGCCTCACCAGGACAGAATGTACAGTCTGGAATTGTGCTCATTGTCACTCAACTTGGCCTACTAAACAGAATCTGCCCCCCCACCCCCTAGGTATTCTAGGTCCCCATTGGCATATTTTATTCTACAGGCTTTTATTTTCAGCAATCCTCCAAAAAATTAACATTAGGCTTCCTCAGGGGTCACTACGGGCCATTCAAGGTTGCCCAGTGCTCTTTTGGACTGGTACGATTCATCACTTTCAGTCACTAGTAATTTTGGTTGAGGAACAAAGGAAATTAAACCCACCTCCAACACAGCCCGGTAGGTTTTTAGATCTCGATTCAGCTCTGCCCACCCGAAACCCAGCACGGTGAGGGAAGGGAAACTCGCCTCTGCGCGCGGGCCGGGGAGCCCCGTCCAAGGCTTTGCCAGACGCGCCTGGCGAGCGTTGGGTGGACCCGAGGGCGCGAACCGGAGATTTCTGCTCGGGAACTCAAGGTTTGAATTTCCCAATCGTGAGCGGATTTGCCTCAGCACACGTCAGTAGCTGTGGCACCATTTCTCGAAGGGTCTTCTTTGCCCCTCCTTCTTCCGCCCCGCCTCGTTCTTAGGGAATTTCTAGAGTTTCCCGGAGTGTTACAAGTGCATTTATCAGCTCCGGGACTCCCTAGGTGTTCAGAGGCCCTTGCAAGGGGCTGCGCTCAGCTTACCCGACGAGTTTAGGGAGAGTGGGGTGAGAGAGGGCAGCGCGGGAGGGAAAGCATTAGACCGACAGCTTTGATGCAGTCGATCTCTTGCTCTTTGACCCTCCGCCGGCGACCCCGTCTCCCCTCCCCCATCGGGGGCAGAGGTCTGGACCTCGAAGCCCGGAGGCTGCGGGGAGCGCGAGCTGAGCTAAGATGCTAAGATGGCAGGAGGGCCCGCGCAACCGGCCTCCCCAAAGCTTCTCAGCCTCATCTGGTTAAACAAAAAACAACAACAACAACAAAAAAAGTAAAAAAAAAAAAAAAAAACTTCAATACAGACTCAGCTTGAGTAATTTCGGTCTGGATTTAGGCGGGACAGAATGAACTCGGGGGGCAAAGTGCTTTACAGAATGTGTTACCAAAAAAAGGAAAAAAAAAAGCTTTAACGCGGACCCCTTTTAATGTCCAGTGCTTAGTACTCTGGTAGCGCCAACTCAAAACTGTCCCCCAACAGCTCCGAAGTCGCCACAGGTCTGCGCAAGCGGGGGAGGGGGTGCGCGCGGCGCGGGGGGTTAAGCTCGCTCTAAAGTGCTGTTTCAAAGGAAAAAAAAAATGCCTTTTCCCCTATTCCTTCTAGGAGCTCGTGTTCTAGCAGTTGATTTTGGAAAAGCATCCTGGCACACACGCTGTCTCTAAAACGCCCGTTTCTCCTCTAACGCTCCTTAAGTCACCACCACCCATTGAAGACTTCTCAAGCCCGGAGTTGCCAGCGTGGAGGAGTAAAAAGCTGGCAGTGCGCGCTAAAGGCTTCACTCCGAAGCCCCGCGCAGACTTGGACAAAGTAACTACTGTTGGTCTAAAAGCCCTCACGGCAGCACCCTGATCTCCAGATCTGGCTTAATCTGGAAAAGTCTAAGAAGGAACCACGTGCAGGTCAAGTAGCTGCGGCGTCTCAACAAAGCACCGCGTCACAAAAGGGATCTGCTTTTTCAAGGCTACGAACGGCGGCCACTATTTCCATACGAAAAACAAGCACGTAGTCTATACCACAGGAAGCACGCTAAGCAAACTTGATTGAAATGTCCAACCCGAGCCCTCCAACCGTTCCCCCCCACCCAACACCTACCCCATCCGCGACTACAGAAAAGTAAAAGTGGGCTCCGTAACAAAGAGCCAAATTCAGTAACTTGGAAAAGTTTTGGCTTTTACCTGTTGCATTGTCGGGAAAACTTTTTTACACGACCAACATATAAATCAGCACGTGGAAACTAAAGGCGCTTTGAAGTCGTCATTCTACTTACGGTACCCTAAGTCAAAGGTGACAACGCATTTACAAATCAATCACAGCACAAGAGTTTTCCTTACAGAAAAAGACGCTAGTAGGTAAAAAAAAAAAAAAAGGGGGGGGTCCCAAAACTTACTCGTTCGCTTAAGGAAAGCGAAGCCGGCGCGCCAAAGTGCTGAGGCTCCTTGGAGGCTGAAGTCAAAGAAAAGGAGAGCTCGGGCTCTCAAACCTGTCTATTTAAAGTTTAAAAGTCTGCTGCTGTTTGGTACTTTCCTCACGCCTTCCCCCAATGAAAGAAAAGTGCTGATACCTCGTAAAAGCGCTTTTCTAACTTGGAGCACAGCGCTTTTAAAAGTTTCAAGCCACTGACTCAACTGGGAGGAGGGGCTAGGAGAAAGGGGAGGGAGGAAGAAAAGGCGGGGAGGAGGTGGGGAGAAGGCTGGGGAGCGTGGGGCTGAGCAGGCACAAGACAGCCGGGGTCAAGATAAAGTTGTAGTGCGAACGCGCTTAAGAGAAAAAAGAGAAAGAAAGAAAACAGCCCTAGATATACGTCCGCCACCACTTGCCTGTGACTCCTCACAGATTAAAAACTGTTGAGTCTGTCTAGTGCCTCACCAGATGATCACGGACAGTGAGAATATGTACGTTTGATGTTATATTTTCTAACCTAAAAAAAAAAAAAGGTACAATAAATAAAAATGGGGGAGACAACGCTAACCAGTGCGGACTTGTTCTGGGCTGCCCAAGCTGTGTGAAGCTTGAGGTGGGTGTGAGTGATCTTTCTTATGACCTAATTCTCCTGCTCTTAAACATGGACAATTAACAAAGGAAAGAAACGGTGGGCATGGGAAAAACATTGCACAACCAGATGTGTGTAGGGGTTTGTCTAACCCTTCAGCCTCTGGACTAGGTTAGGTATTTCTATGTGTTCTTTCAATTAAGCACAAGAAAAGACTTATAATATGTCTTGTATATAATTTTTGACTGAAATGTTGATAGTGACCTCTACCAGATCTCCAAGGAAGTGAAAATTTATGCCTCAGGCCTATTCATGCCAACAATTTAACATTTAAATCTACAGTGAGATGTCAGAATTCTTTTTTAATTTTTTTTTTTTTTAACAACTGCAGACTAGAATTCTCAGATACATTATGTTGGTGTAAAGTGGCTCTGAAACCTTCAACCCCTCTTTTGATCACGTCCTGGGATGCCCAGCCTGGTGACTCTTTGCCTCTTTACAAGCCCGCTCCTCAGACCTGATAGGGTTCCTGAAGGCCTAAGTCATATGGCCTCATTCCTGAGGTGAGTAGCTTCTTTGAGGGCTCCCAGATGTCCTCCAAGAGGACTTGTGATAGGATGATAAACAGACTTCGTTGGTGTTGAGCAGGGAAACCTCTTGGCCTTTGTACAGACATCCATCTGATCATGCTAAACTTTTCACAGAAGGATGGCAAAGATTTCCTGGGAAATACTTTGCCCAAGTATCCTCTCACTGCAATGACTAAGGATTATTTGAAATCTCAGAGTTTGGGATGCTCTCTTATTTTGATTACCTCATTCTTATTAGAGGTTTGTATCTCTTTAAGTTCAGGAAGGGAAAAGATGTAGAAGCAGAAACTACAGTCTGACTTTCAAAGCTTTGTGCTCAGCAACCTGAAATTAGTTGCTTTTTTCCTTAACATTTAATGTGTGTGTGTGTGTGTGTGTTTAAGTTAGAAGACAACATGTGAAAGCTAGTTCGCTTTTCCCATCTCAAAGCTCAGCTCACATTGGAAAATGAGGCAACAAGCCATCTTGTTGACCCTTATTAAATGTATTTATTTACATAGTTAATATTTTTTGTTTTTGTGTTTTTCAAGAACAAAAAAGAAACTTCTCTCTGCATAGCTCCCTGGCTGTCCTGGAAATCACCACATAGAACAGACTGACCTCAAACTAACAGATATCTGCCTTCCAGCACTGGGATTAAAAGTGTACACCACCATGTCAAGCTCATCAAATTTATTAACTGATAAATTATAAGAGGTGTACATAATATTTGAGTAATGTGATGCTCTGATACATGTGTAAAGTGTGTGGTGTTGAACTCAGTGTAAGCATATTTGTCTGTTGAAATATTTCTCATTTCTTATGGTAGAATATCCAGATTCTGAAAAGAAACTCTTTTGAACACTTAGAACAACCTCAGTGCCCACATATCAGCCTCTCTTGGTTTTTCTTTCCCTCTTTACAAAAACAAATTTTACTTAATTTACAGAAAGATTTGTTTGCTAGGTGTGGTGGCACATACCTTCAATCCCTCCCTCCAGGCAGAGGCAGAAGGATCTCTGTGAGCTCAAGGCCAGGCTGGTTTACAAAGCAAGTTCCAGGACAGCCAGGGCTACACAGAAAATCTGTCTCAAAAAAAATCTTTTTTGCTTTATTTTATAAAATTATTTGTCAATTGCAATTATTACCAATATCTATTTCATCAATAACTTCCCTGTAATATCAATTCAGAATCAGTTGCAGGGGGGAAAAAACCAAGTTGTGATTGACAACCTTTTACAATATAATTTTTTTTCTCTCTTGATTTTTTGAGACAGGGTTTTTCTGTAGCTTTGGAGCCTGTCCTGGAACTTAATTTGTAGACCAGGCTGGCCTTGAACTCACAGAGGCTAGCCTGCCTCTCTCTTCCCAATGCTGGAATTAAAGTGAAAAACCTCAACCACCTGAGTGGAACAGTGCTTCTTAATAGGAGAGCTGACGTCATTTAAAAATTTTGTTTACAAACACACACGGAATTTTGAGACGCAGACAATTTTAGAGATGTTACAGGTCTGTCTTATGTTAACAGTTAGGTGATCCTTTTTCTTTTGAGACTGGGTCTAGCTCTGTAGTACTGGCTTTGAACTCGCCCAGTAGACCGGGCTGTCCTCAGATAGCCTTAAGATAACTTTTATTTTAGTGAGGAGCAGAAACATAAAAAAACTGGTGTTGAGAAGGATACAGGGGTCTCTGCCTATAGCCCCAGGCACTTGGGAGTGTGAGGCAGGACAGTCAACCGAGGACAGTTTCCAGCAAGCCTCACCAACAATGGTGAAATCCTGTCTTAAATCAAAAACAGGGTGTAGAGGCTGCTGTGAAGGGTATTTCAGTGGGTGCTAGACTAGAAGAGAGGAGCTATGCATGTGGACACTGTAAAAACCGGAAGAGAAGGGAAGAGGAAATGTCTGAATCTAACGATAGAATCCAGTGGGAAAACTGGCAGGAGGGAGGTGGGACACAATTTGGAAATTTAATTGGGAAATTATTACTAACACCAAAAAAAAAAAAAAAAAAAAGCTGGGGAGTGGCCCGCCAATTGGAAGATACAACAGTTTCACTCTGGAGTGAGGAAGAGCAGAAATGCCGTCTCAGCTGTGGGTTGAGGGGTTCTGGTTAAAATCGTTAAAGATTTTCGATTAAGTGAAAAGAATTGACAGTTTAAAGCCATGGGTTCTGAAATGCTTGTTAAGAGAATGTGGGCAGTGAATCTCCAAGACAAAGCCCACATAGAAAAAGAATGACAAAAGCAATAAGGTGGACAAAGAGAGGGGCATTCAATGCTGGGGGAGGGGAGGGGGCAGCTTGTTTGTAAGGAAAATGCCTCCAGGCCGAGGCGCTCTAGGTCTTTAACTTTGAAAGGGGAATTATTCATTGACAACGAGAGTGAATGCAGACCTTACCGGAAGTGGAGCACTGAGGTGGAGCTTTAGGAACCAGGAGAGTGAAGGTAGTTTCTCTCCAAGTGAGTGAGGTTGTCACCTGAGGAGTTGATATGTATCTCTTTTGAAATTAAAATGAATCAGTAGAAGACAGAGTTATCTAAGGTTGGGAGGATTAAGAATGGCATTGCAATGGCTCTCAGATCCCATTATCATTTTCCCTCTCTCCCTCCTTCCCTCCCTCCCTCCCTCCGTCTCTCTCATCCGCTGCCAGTGTCCACCCCCCACCCCCCAGTTCTGAGTTACAGGTGTGCACCACCACTCCTGGCCCAGCTCTATCTGTTGCTGCGTTCTATGCTGTTGTTTTAAATTTTGAGATAAAGTCTCACTGAACAGATCATGACCCTTCTCTCTTACTTCCTGTGTTGGGATGCTGGTGAATGGCCAGCCTGGGTTAGATTTCCTTCCATCTGTATCACAATTATTTTGTTTTGTTGTTGTTGTTGTTGCATGCATCAAATTTCAATTTAAGCTAATACTTTTTAGTCTGTGAGGAAGGAGTGAACGTGAACTTGGAGCTCAACAGCATGCAATATAGAAATACTTAAATTGGTCAACCAATCAGATGGTGAATCCTACTGTGTGGCTTCTGTGTAATTGCATATCTTACTGTGACTATTAGGGAGCCATGTTTCCCTGAGTAACAGCTTCCCAGCCAAACTGCACTAGAATTCTTTTCAACAAAAAAGGGAAAACCTGACAATTCGCCCTTTAATCCCAGAGGACCGAACCCTTGTTCTCCATTCATTTAGCAACCTTTCATCCTGGAAAACAATGTAAAGATCAAAGTTTGACTCCATCTAGGTAAAATTTCATCCCCACCCCTTACCTCTTAGTGAAAATGACCATGACGCTAAACCTAGTATTTATAAGAGGAAGAATTTGTTTTGTTTTGCTTTGCTTTGTTGAAAGGGAAAGAAATTTAGCTGTGGATAAATATATCTCTGGCTCCACCTTGTGTACAGAGTGAAAATGAACATCCAAAGGAGTAACTAACTGACAGCTCCCAGAGAAGGCCGAACCTACTGTTCCCTTCTTCCCAGCCCTTCACTTTCTCTTTTTGCTTTATCTACATAGAAGCCTTTTAACAAACCTCAGCTCTGCATTTTAAAACAATGTTGTCGATAAACCACTTGCTCTTTATTTAATGTTTGTGTGATATCAACTTTCTTTTAAATGGAGCTAGGTTAATCTTTTAGGATGCTTACATTTGGTTATGCAGTAAATATTTACTATGTCTTAGGAACTAAGGTAGATGTGGGGAGAGGATTTTTAAATTATGGAGTGAAGAAAAAAACGGTGTCAGGGTGAACTTCATGAGCTTAAGTCTTCGTGTTTTCTTAAGGGAATGTTGAAAAAGCAACGAATGATAAGCAAAGAGAAAAAAGAATGCAGTTTTGCTTTTCACAAGGGAAGACAAACTTCTCCTCCTGTATTTAGGAAGTGAGGCGCTATCTGGAACACTGAGAATAGAAGGCGGGTTGACAGCTTAGTGGTGA